AAATTTTAAATTTTGAGATTTCAGTAAATATATATATGAAATAGATTTTATTTACAGTTTTTTTTTTTAATATATATATATTTACATCGGTATTACAATTTTATATAGTTGTCTCTAGAATGCTTTGAATGAATAATAAAACATGTCTCACCTGTGCCTTCAATATTATTTGATGAGAAGAATACTTCGCAGTACTTCTCTCGAAATGTCTCATCTGAAAAATAGCATATTTTTAAAATTAAACATCTTAAATGTGTACAATGTGATTATCACTTATTTGGTATTGTCTTTCCTTAGCTGAAATTAAAAACTGATTCTATAATTCCATTTAATCATATCAGTATAACCTAATTCAAGTTAAACAATACCAATAATGGATAAATTTAAATTTATTATTTCAAGAATGTACATAAATATAAAAATATTTACCTGTACTAAATTTTTTCATTGTATTTTCGTCTACGGTAACATTCATTTGTTTGTCTTCGTAGCATAATACAACGTTAAACATTTGAGATGTGGAGGCATCCATTTTGCTTTGCTAATAAAGCGTGGTTCAAAGCTGCTTTATCTTCGCTGCAGCGACCTCTTGCAGCAAACATTTAAAAACGGTTCGCTACATTGCAGCGCTGCATTTACAAACGGGTTTCAGAGTGTTTGCTGTAAAGCGCTGCATAAAAATCGCGGCCTAGTGCTCCAGATCGGAAATCGGAGGATTGGAGACTACTTGAAGCCATTGGAATCAGAAACGAATACTTCCCACAAAGGAACTTTGAAAAGAATATTGTGAAAATACCATACAAAAGGTGTACAGGAACGATGATAAGACAACAGTCCAAGAAAGACCTGAGGATGATAACCCACCCAAAGATTGCCAAGGAATCCTGGGTATTTCTATCTTTCCCTCTCACTGTCCTTAAACATCTACTTTTCTCTTCCTTCTTTAGTTATAAGTAATAGATTTAAGTCACCCCACATATATTTGTTGCGTTTCATTAGACCTGTTGTCCGGGAGGAGAAATCCAATGCATGTGTGTACATAAATCATTGTTTTGTACGTTGGGATCATCATATCAAGAACCTATTCGACATGAAAATAAAATACTCTCTGTTAATCTTATTAATGTGTACTTTTTGTATTATTCCATTTGCAGGGTCACATACTCGTAGCACCGCACATCACACTTTTTCACTAGTGAAGTAATTTTGCCACTTATCAAGGTGCCGTTTGTCATTAGATGTTTCTAGTAGTTTTTTAAGATGGTTACAAAATTATCACACAACAGAGTAGATGTCAAAGTTACCAAGATATTCTTGCAATTCATACTTTGTAAACTTTCTCCCACCCAACATTGTTTTCTTTTTAAAAAACTTTCATTTTTTGTAACAAATATGTAACAGTAGTTAAAAACAGAATGTCGGAAGTGTTTTATTTTTACCAATGACGTTTCTCTCCTGCTTGTTAATGAATGGCTGCTCTAAATTCTAAATTGCTTTTCGGTTTTTGCAGTCCAGACCAGTTTTACATTCATTTTTTTTACATTTGATTATGACAAAATTTAATTTGTGAAAATACTTTACACACAAATCCTATTAATACATGAAAAAAATATTAATAATAATATTAAACACTGAAAACTTTAGACCATGTAAAGCCCTACATGGAACAGCAGAGATTTGAAAGTTCTCTTTTTTGTAAGTTCACATAAATTCGAAACTCGCATAATACTCAAGACTGTACAAGAACTATCTAGTGCGATGTACAGTACATAATACCAAACCAACAGTGAGTAGGAACAAGCATATATTATAACGTGTTTAAGACCACAAAAAACAAAGGACCTAAGCAGAAACTTATACTTACACCTAAAAAGCCATTAAATATTAATGATATCTTTATTAATTTACAATTAACAGATTCTAGCATTGGAAATTTTGTACATCGTCTCTTAATTTCAATTTCCAATTAGCATAAATGCATTTTTCTGAATATTTTTAGATTTTCACAAAACGGAAACAACAATTATTAGGCTATTATATGTATCACAGATAATATATATTATTTATTTATTTCAAAATTTGAATTCTGATAATAATACTAACCTCTGAACATTCTTTGTTTCCGATCTTTAAATTCAATCTTTCGCAAACAACTCTACATTCCAAGAGAAGTTTCGGATCGGGTTTGACATCCAAATAGTTATCGGTCTTCACGTATCCGTTCTTATACTTCTTTCCTTCAAACCTAAACACTAAATATATATAAGAAAATAACATGAATTAAATATATATACATAATATAGCATTGTACAATTAACATATACTGAAATATTTTAAAAATTATTATTACAGATCATTACACATATCTCGACCAGGCAATGCTTGATACTTGGTTGGGGGTTCTAGAAGTTTAAAAAAGTTTGGAAGTGCTTTCTTGATAAGGGATAATGTCCACGTTGGAAGGGATAGAAGGGGTTACAAGTCAAACAAAATTGGATAAGGGGAAATGAGGGCTTAACATCAGTGGACATCCATTTATTTCATTAAATTTTATACAGTTTATGCATTTTATTATATTTATTTCAAAATTTCTTGTGTTTCATTTCTACTTATGGTATCTGGTAAAGGTTTTAAGGTGGGTCGAGTTTTGTCGAATGACCGAAGAGGGGGGCTAATGAAAACTCGAACAAACTAGGACAAGAGGGGGAGGTGGTGTAAAAATTTCAAGAAAAATGAGAACATAATTTATGGATGGCACCCAACTCAAGCCAACAATCTGTTCCCTTTGCTAAGTAAATATACCTGTAGCAAATACAGTGCATTCTTACAACCCATTGAAGATTTGTGAAATGAACCATAATGCATATTGGTAGTAACAGTCAGGAATGACATTTGTGTGTCCTTAATTACCTGTAGATAATCTTTCATTCTTCAATGTGCTGATTGATGTATCAAACAGCACATCAATGAACTGTGATGTACTAAAATGTGTTCCAATATTCACTAACATGCATCACACTTATTGGTCCGTGGATAGTGTGACCTCTGACAAAGCAATATGGCAATCAACACAGTTATATTATTAACACCACTTTTACTACTCGTCTCAATTTACTCAAAGATATGACAAAATAAATCTGCAAATACAAATAGTGACATTTGCTTCCGCCATCTTGTTAGGTTGCTAAACAGTCCATAAAAGCTTATTATACTGTTCAATGTGCATAGACTGTGGACTAATAATTAAATTACCCTTGTTACGGCCCATTATAATCTGGCAGTTCCTTTGGTACATGCATTAAACAGCCATTTGTTGCAATGACTGTTAACCAAAATAAATAAACTGACAACTAAAACTTGGATTATGTATGTATGTATGTTACAGGCCATTTGTTAAAAAATTCTGATTATATAAGGATATGGCTTGTTTATATATATAAATACTGTTAAAACACACAAAAACATCATATAACCTAGTCTATAAGAGGAGGACAATGAAGCCCACATAACAGGTGAGGTGATGAAGTAATTGTCTCAAGCAGCTAAACAAGAGTGGCGACCAAAATATTCAAATAGAGAAAAAAAATAAATAAGAATAAACTAAATACTGTGAAATTCCATAAATCCACTTTAAAGTTGTTTATAAATAATTCATACAAGAGCGCCGGTGCTAGAAGTGCTCTTCATTGGCAATATATTCTGGGAACAAGAACAGCAAAACTCGGTTCTGCCTTGGGTGCAAGTTACTGTTGAACCAGCACCAATAGATGACGACGACGACTGCATTCTTATCAAGCTATTTGATGAAACATTACATTATTTAATAACAAATATAACAGTGAATGTATTGTTCATTAATTATTCTTGTAGTTTATATATTTATGATGCTTAGAAGCATGCAAAGTATTTCATACACAATTTTTTTTTATTCTCTTCTTATTCTTCAAATTTATATACAGAAGCTTCAGTTTTGCATAATTTTTGATGTATCTAGCTTTCTTTTTACATAAAAATTGTAACTCTCCTCAAATGAATCAATTTGATAATGCATCATACTACATCCAATTAATACTAAAGCATACCATACTGAAAAACAATATTCTTGGTCGGCTTACATTTCAGTTTATATCTCAAAAACAAATATTACATACACAATAATGTAAAGATAATGTTAATTTTCAGTTCTGCTATCTTGATATGACTTCCTTGCAAATCTTTGGCATTGATACATTCAAGGACAGAACAAAATGAAGGTTAGGTTCGTTATTTCCTACACTATTAACCTGCGATCACACGCAGTTATTTTTTAAAGGACTGCATGCATAAGGTGGTGATTTTATGCTGATTTTTCACACACAATTGCCACTCCTCAAATTTAACAACTCTGAAAATCCTGTGATGTGTCTTTTCTGCATGTGCCAAATTTCAACATCACAAATTGTTTGGTTATGAGCGTGTTCTGTGAACAAACCAATTTCCTTGACCAGGATCCCATACGGAGTCCTTCAAACTTTATGATAATGTGGGCTAATGTGAAAAGAGCTCAGCTGAAAATAAAATGACAACAAGGCCAAGGAATTTCTGAGGAGGACCGGAATATGATTATTCTGTATTTTTTGGACACAAAACACCCTCATTTAAATTGTTGAACATGTGTTTTATGAAACTTCGGTTTCAATACAGATAAGATAATTTGTTAATTGTGAAACTAATAAAATAATTACATCTCAGAAATCTGATATTTATATACTTTAAGTAGCATAAAAGTTCTGTTTCTCAAAAACCTTAACATCCCTGTTGGGATAAAATCGTCCGACATACAATTTCCCGCACTTTTCCATATTTTCAAACGAACAACAGTTGTCACCATGGGAATGCCAATCAGACAACTTTGGAAACTCGACCGCGGATTGGCTGGAAGACACCGTACCACCAGCAAACGTCTTGTAGCACTACTAAGCGCTGATTGGTGGAATTCCATTTCCCTCAATCCGTATAAAAGGATTGAGTTTAGGCGGGAAGTTTAGTTCGCCTAGGACACATCAAGGGAACTCACGTTTATCTAGCTTCGCCTAAGCTGATCTAGAGGATTGTTTCGTCTCACTGTGCAATATCTAACCTTTGAAGGAGTTCATCGCAAGGTGTCCCTTTCGACGGACCTGTTGTCGTGGATTAAAAGTATTTGAACTTTGTTACACCTGATGTTTTGTAATTGTTGTTTGTGAACTTTTGTAACTGTACATAAGTTTACTTGTAATATAAATGTCTTTGTGAAAATTCTATATCATATATATCGTTGTGAATTTGACTGTCCCTTTTTACAAAAATTGCCACATTTATTATCAAATAACGCAATGTTTCACTAATGACCTTACAGAAATAGCACCATATAAATACATCAGATTAGTCATATGCATTCTTATGCATATAACGTAATAATAATAGTCCAAGCTGTATATGAAGTGTTTTTTGACAAACTGCCTGTAACATGCAATTACCTTTTCACGTATAATTATACTGCACATAACTGCCGTTCCCGGAATTTGATGTTTCTGAAAAATCATCAAATTCACATGAAGACAGTCTGCTACTGTCTGGAATTTCAGTGATGACAAAGGAACTAACTGTATGTGTTACACACTCTCAATTTATGTTTCTTTTCCAAAGTATTCCACTCTATACATTGACACTCTCCCATCATTTTGGTAATGATACTGTGACTGCAGAGTAGTCTTTTGGTTGATGACAGAATACACTCTGTACACAGTGGAGGTTCAGCTCTTGAAGGAAGACTTGGAACAGGAGATTCACCAGAACACTGAAGTCAGAGAGTTTGTCATGCAATGGTTCCAACACTAGCCAAAAACTTTCTATTCTGTAGGCATAGTAACATTGCCAAAATAACAAGAAGTGTTGGCTTGCAGAGGTGAAAACAAAATTAGGACTATGTAACATACAGTTTGATCACCATTACCAAAACTCCAGACAGAACTTGAATTTTCCTCAAATTTATTTCTTTCATTCTTCTAATAACTGAATTAAAAAAATGAAACTTACCATCATAAATGCAGTGATCATAGGAAATTTTCTTAATCTTTTTAGTATTTTTCAAATTCTTCTGAAATAAAAAAATAAATTGGCATATATATATGTGACTATACATACAAGGGGAGTGCAAAAGTAGGTATACAGTTGTTATTATGGAAAATAACATACATAGAGAAAATAGGAAGAAAAAACATTTGTTTTTATGTACAAATTAAATCACAAATAAAAAATACAAACTAATAAAAATAATAATAATGAACACCAAATACAGGTATACCTCGCCTTACGTCGGTAATTGGTTCCAGGAAAACGACTTAAGTCGAAAAACGACGTAAGTCGAATTTACTTGTCTCCGAATCTACTTGTCACTAGGAAAAACCATAAATTACTATTCCCAGTTCTGTATTTTATTTATTAATGCATTTTTAATAATATATGGTTAATAANTCTTCTACAAAGGAAGTATTATTGAGTATTTGGACTCTTGCTAACCAAGAATCATTTAGAGGTATTGGAGACAGATTTGGTGTCAATAAAGGTCATGCACACACAATCTTTATAGACTTCTGTCAAAAAATGTGTCGTATGATTGGCAAGTTTATTACATGGCCAAATGATAACTTGGAAAGAACAGTTCATAAGCTTGAAGAATTACGTTCTGTTTCATTGCCTGGAGTAATTGGGTGTGTTGATGGAACACACATATATATAAAAGCTCCAAAGGAAGACAGCCAGAGTTATTACAACAGGAAAGGAAGGCACTCTATCCTGTTGCAAATAATTTGTGATTCTGAAATGCGAATTATTGATGCATTTGTTGGTTGGCCTGGTAGTGCCAATAATTCTCGGGTTTGGCAGCAGAGCCCTATTTATAAAATGTTTTTAAATGAATCTTCAAGGTATTTAGAAGATAAGTATTATTTACTTGGAGATTCAGCGTATCCATTAGATACATTTTTAATTGTACCATATAAAGATTATGGTAATCTTACTGTAAAACAGAAAAATTTTAACAGAAGACACAGTTCTATCAGAGTTGTGGTAGAACAAACCATAGGTCTGCTAAAAGGGCGATTCCGTCGTCTGAAATATCTGGACATGGAAAACATTTCATCAATGTCAAAAGTCGTAATGACATCATGTATATTGCATAATTTGTACATTAATCAAGGTGATATTGACTGTACAGAGGATGCATTTGTTGATGATTATAATGAACCTGCAAAAGACCCAATTACAAGAAATCGTACAGCTGCAGAAGTAAAACGTAATCAATTATCAGATCTATTGATGTAGAATTGAAATGTTTATTAAAAATATAATTTACAATTGTCTTGTAGTTAAATTAATAAATATAGAGAATAGTTTTATACAATCTATTGTCAGTGTTCTTAATAAAATGTTTATCACAAATTCACTCATCTATCAATTGAAGGGCTCCCTATAGAAACCAACAAATGTCTTTTTACCAAGAAGCTAAAAATTGTTTCATGCTTTTTCTACATTCATATTTTAAAATTTGTTTATTTACACTTGTTGACTAAGATTATTTAAATTCAAAAGTAGGGAAAACTCAATTACTTTTATTGAACATTTTTTTTTCCTTATTTTGGTCTAAAAACAAGTATATTCTTAGACAGAATTAGATAACCTAATAAATAGGGTATAATAATTGCAGGTCTTATCACACCAATTGTTATACCCTATTTATTAGGTCTAATTTATAGTCGTGGGCAAAAAGCATTGTTTATTATTATAAGTATATTCTTATTGAATTAAATTTTTACAGAAGTATGTAATGCATTTGTAGTTTTACACAGAGGCCATTAAAGACAATAAATTGAGCTAAGATTCAAAATACTCAACATTATGTCATACTGATGAACAAAGGAAGAAAATACAAAACGAGGCATTTTCTAAGGCTTAATTAAAACTGGGAATCCAAGAAAAAAGTTAAAAAAAAAAAAGCCAGCCATTGAGAGCTTGTATGGAGTCTGAGAATAGAGTTCTCTTGCCATTTTTTGAATAAATTAAGCACGATAATGCTTTATTAATAAAAAAAAAAACAGTTTTAGAGATTTATTTTCTGTTAGTAAAAATGGCATTAATTTTGTAAGGGCCCCTAAGTTTTCTCCTGACCCAAGGAAAAATTACATTTCCTATTCAGTCCTGTACAAAAAGAAAGGAATCAACAATGAAGCTTACTGTAATAGAGAGTTTGATTCCTTTTTTTTAAATACTGTAAGTCTCAGAAAAGTAATATACAAATCAACACGAAAACTTTATTATATCCCAGTAACAACAAATTTTAATTAAAATCTATTGTCCATAATCATGGTCGTCTTCAGGCTTTTGACCAGTA